TCACAGTATCGGATGTGGTTTGTTGGGATGAACCTTTAGATTGTAGACGGTATATTCTGATTTCACCTTCAGATTTTAGATCTCACTCGAGACGCAACTTTATTTTTTTTTTGCACATTTCACTGGTTTACCAAGTGATTCAAGGAACTAAAAACAGAAAATGATGTGCAATTACAAGATGAAAGCGAAAGACAATAGATAAAATTAATCGATAAAGTAGTAAAATAATCTAACATCTCGTTAACAAGCTATCGTGTTAAAAGACGACAGTGACGTGGTTTGTCTGATCGACATGTTGTGCGACGGGTGTGAAGGTCTCACCTCCTTCACCTTAGTTTCAAAATGATGTTTGGTTTCATTTGTCTGTCTGCTGAACATTTAGATGAAGTCACTTGATGTCTTGCTACTGATTTTAATTGTTGATTTAGGTCAGACTCAGCTCAGTTTGCTTCACTAACTTTCATTTTCCCATAACAGGCAGGTCTGTGGTGTTGCGTCATGCCTAGACAATACTAGAATGACACTCGGGGGAGTGTATTCTTCCGTCAGGTCCCACCAGGCCCACACTCATCTATCAGTTCCCTAAATATTCATGATTCAACGATTTCCAAGAAGACTGATGAAAATAAAATGAAACACCCATCGTGCGTTATTAAAGAAACAATCAGCAAAAAAGAATTGTATCCCTGACTCACACGGCCTCCTTCCATAAGGTTTCATGGGAATACTTCAGGAGAACGGTTTGTCTCATTTCTCATTCTAGTCTGAGACTGAAGATGATTTGAAACAGAGCCGTCAGTTGCAGTCATCAGATTCCGAGATGTATTTAGAAATCATACATTTTGCTTACCCATGCAAAGTAGCTGTCTATAATTGTCGATTTTAATTCACTGTAATTTCCCGCACAAGAGAACTGGTCACACTTCTGTATCTCGTGTCATGAGTCTCACTCTGGTGTTCAAGTCACTCTCTCTGTAACCAGCTGTTCCAGGCTCTGCCAGTCAACCGAGAATGTGATGCTGAGAAGGTCATTTCACTGTCAGCCTGTGCGACTCATGATGATTCCGCACGAGTCAAACTTGACTTTCTGCGTAACCATAGCAAGTTTTATGGGTTCTTCCTCAAGCTTGGGAAATCACTGTCGTTATCCCCATGAATGATTTTCCAGTAATGTAGTTTCTTATGGTTAAGTAGCTGTGACCGAAGTGCTGCACATGACTGAAAATACTCTTGTTATTGCTGTTACTTCTCACAGCGTCGACATGTTGATGATGTAAAGCAGTTTGTTAGTTTTATTGGCTGACGTTTTGGTCGTTAAAAGCTTTCTTCTGCTTTGTAGTGTTTTGAGGCTTTGACTAAACAGAGCTTTCAGACGTGCACTGAACTCTAGACAATTTCCGCAAGTTTTCCGAAGAGACTTTTTGTGAGAACGTAAATGTCCGAGTCATTATCTCCGGACATTTTCTGGAACCTTTGCTGCCGGTCCCCAACTGACTCTGGACATTTTCGCTGTCACTTACATCCCGTTTGGAAAATTGCCGGAAAATGTCTGGCAGCTTCAATCTGTAACCTCATATAAACTCTTCTCTTTGTGAAAGCTTTTTACAAATGATTGACACTGTGCAAGTGCTTTCTGAGAACATTTACCACGCCAGACATAATCATACTGTACTTATTTATACTTACTGAATGCCACATTTCTATTTTTACCTCTAGTCATTAAAAACCTGTATCTAAAGTACAAGAAGAATTTGATAATTGCAGGTTCAGACGTACTGGGAAGTCCATTTCATTTGTTTTGTTTTAAAAAGCCGCACCCAAATATTTATCATCTGATTCTCTTTCAGTTCTGATATCAGTTCTTTCTTTTTTCACTCCCAATGAGTCACTGCTGAGTCATTTTACAGTCTTTTTTTGTCTTATCTTTTCTACACATTAACTCTAAAAATATGTGACACAGTAACCGCACCTCCCTGGATCTGATTCATTCAAACTGTGTCACAGTGAGGACATTCCCTGAATCAACGATGAGTGTTCAGTTTCAGCACGTGTCGGCTGTCAACGTGTCTTGAAGTATTGAAGTCGACTGAATGAGTTTATACTTATAACATATTGTTCACTGTTGTTTTGCTTTTAAAACACATCCCCCTTCACCGCTTAGTCAGGTGATGTAAATTAATTCTAGCTTCTTCTCCTCATTGTGCAGGAATATGTGCGAGGACTTTGTGACCCAGAACTGCACAAAGAGGAGCGTTACCCAGTTGACATGCACTGTATCTTTGCTGGTGCCCGCGGCCTCTTCCTGGACAGGCTCATACGGGACACAAGTGCAGAGGTCCAGGTGCCGGAGCCGGGTCGCCTGCGGCTCTTGGGCCAGGCCGAGCCTGTTGTGATGGCGCAGAGCAGAGTTCAGCAGTTTGTAGCACTATTCCAGGTACGAGTCTTAATGATCAGTCCCCTCACACAGTTTTGTTATCCAGCTGTTTAATTTCTGGACCTGAGAGCTTAAATGGCAGAACTGTCAAAAAATAGTTAAATAGAAAACATCACCTGTAGGAAATTGCAATGGGCATTTTCACTTTAAATTTACATTTCATAAACCATTATATTATCAACTGATACAAAATAAAGAAGACTGATTGATAATGAAAACCTTCAGCACTGTGTGCCATCACGTGGAATCCCTTTCTCTGTGTCTGTGTTGTCCAGGAGAAGCGAAGTCTACCGGGCGACAGAGAGCCAGCGGTGAAACGAGCGTTCAAATCCTTTGTTGAGGAACGGGATGATAAATACACGATGGAGCTTCTTCTGCTGCCCAGTGCCCTGAAGGAAGAGTTACTGGGACTGGCTCACAGCCCCACCAGCACAAACACATCCTCCCTGGTTAGTTCAATATAAGTGCAAAAGTCAACTTACTCACACTTAAAGGTTGTTATTCAAGAGCAACTTTCTTTCCTCAAACAGACTCTGCAGCCCAGCACGGCAGAGGTTGACCAGGACCGCTCGCAGAGCAGCACGCCAGTGACGGAGCTCTCCAACCGCATCTTGGACACTAGCTTTGAAGAGAGAGGGGCCACGGTGGGATCTGTCGGAGGAGCCGGGAAAGCGGGAGGAGGGATAGGATTAGGTGCCGAAGCCGTTCTGCTCAACGGCACTCGGCCCTCACACAAGCGGCGCTCGTCTGAGAGCGAGACTCGGGACACAAAGAGACAATACTCTCTGGAGCGGAGAGACGAGTCGCCAGAGAGAGCGAGAGAGCGGCAGAGGGACAGAGAGGGCCGGGGCTCTGGTAGCAGCTGTAGATCCAAAACGCCCTCTGCCTCATCGTCCCTCTCCTCCTGTGCTAAAGCAAACACAGTCGGGCCGATCATGCTGGACTCCAGTGAAGGGATCTCAGACGAGGGGGAGGCAGTCAGTCCAGAAACCAACCTCCGCTGCCTGGTCAATTTCTTCAGGTAAGAGTCAGAGCTTCAAGTCCTTGTTGATGGTTCTGTTATTATTATTATTATGTCAGGTCTGTTATTCATGAGTTCAATATGTGGTCTGGAGCCTCAATGATTAATGAATAATTCAATCAACAGCAAATTACACAGCAACTGTGAAGTCTCTGCTCCAACAGAAATGATAAATGTTGGAGTTCTAGCTTCTCAAATATGACAATTAATTTTTTTTTTTTTTCATCTTTCATCACAATAAATGTAATATATGAATTTGTGTTCTTGGTCAAGACTTTTGATGAAGTCATTTGTTAAAGTTTGCTTTTAGAGAAATGAGATGAGCATGTTTCACTGTTTTCTGTTTTTTTAATAACTAAATAATTGTTTGAATTATCAGCAGACGGTTTGATACGGAAAATGATTTTTACTCTCAGTTCAGTGCAACGGTCAGAATCAACTGCGCTCATTCTGTGTAAAAATAGATTCTAAAGTTCAGCTGAAGCTAATATGAGGCTTCAGACTGGATTAGTCAAAACAAGAACATTTCCCAACGCTGTTTCACCGTGTCGTGTTTCCAGACCGAGCAGCAGCGGTGGCATTGTAACAAACAAGCTTTTCAATGGTTGTTCATCCTCGTACCACATATATATACAAAATGTTTTTTCTCACGGGCAAAATGGCAACAAGCATGTGTGTATCGTTTAAAGACTAAACACACGTCATGCTGCACAATAAAACATGTAAAACTAAATGTCTCCAGAACCATGGGTTACCAGCAGGAAGTGGTGGAGCGTGTTGTCAAGGAGACAGGACAGACTGAGGATACCTTCCTCGTCCTGGAGAAGATCGTGGAGGAAACCAAGCGGTGTGAAGAGGGCTCGAAAGGAGGAGACAAAGAGAGACGGCCGACCTCCGTACGCTCCTCAGACACGGCGTCCTCCTCATCGTCGTCCTCGGCCCCTACGGTCTCTCGTCTCAGAGAGAAGGAGCGTGAGTTTAGCAGAGCGCTGGTCGACCCTGGCAGGTCTAAAGAGAACATTAAGCCCAACCAGCACGGGAGCAGTAGCAATGGGCTGGGGCATCGGAGGCAGTGCAGCGGCAGCGAGACGAGCACTCAGCAGGTATTTCACTTCTTACAGCAAGAACCCTTTTTAGTTAATTTCTTCTTTCTCTCCTTTGATAGGAGAACAAAACTGAATCAAACCACTCAGACTGAAATCATCCATTTAAGATGACTTGTTTCATATCACCGTTGAACGTTGTTTCATTTGTAACCTCAACATCTGTCATAATTTAGCTCCCATGACACTTTTAAATCCTTCTCATCTCTTCACTTCGCATGATTTCCAATAAACTGCTTCATATCTTATTACTCCTCTAATTGGTTCATCACATGAAACAATAAGGTTTTGTAAAGCCTGAAAAAATGACATGGTTGATTTATTTCAGAAAGTTTCAAATGGTGTTGTGGGTCATTAATTAAAATCCGATTTCAGGCAATCACAATCAAGAGGAGCTCCAGTGCTCAAGGCGGAGCAGGAAACTATGAGGTCATCACCATTGTCGATGACGATGATGACATCCTCACGGAAACCAAAACAGCAGACAGCAGTGTGCCCCGTATGTTCGCGGCACACCTCGACACCCACTCGGGATCCAGAACAGACTATCTGGCTCGGGGAGTGGGCAGCGGGAGTGGCGTCTCTCAGAGGGACTACCTGTCCAGGGGCGGGACTCAGACTTTAGGAGGATCTGTGAAAGTTGAGAGTGTGACGGCACTGCGCAGCACGCCTCAGTGGCTGACGGCCACCACCTCCTCCCTGGTGTCGACTCCCAGTGTAGGTATTAACCTAAAGTCCCCCCTTCAGTTAAAACAGTGTTTTGTGTAGCGTTACTTGGACTTTTAAACATTCCTATCCTGAATGATGCACAGTGGAACGAAAGCTGTATGCTGAGGTTTCTCCTTTAACCTTTTTGTACAAGTTTTTTTTTTTGGTTAAATTTGTTAGTAACAACTCTTTCCCTCTCGTCTTTCTCAGTCGGCTCAGTCCATCAACCGGCCCTCGGCCTTTCCCTATCAGACCATCGGCCATGTGGGCTTTCACGGGGGCGTAGCCAAGAGCCCTCCTGCAAACGACCCCCCTGCGCCCCCAGTGACCGGTCTGGGTCGTTTCCATCAGTCGCTGAGGACGCCCTACACTCTGAAGCTGCCGAATGAGCCGGGGCGTCCAGAGCTCAGACACATTATCATTGATGGCAGCAATGTGGCTATGGCGTGAGTCTACACACACACACACACACACACAACCCACAAACCCACAAACCCTTTGGTTTACTGGAACATGTTAACCTATAAGTTCCTCTCCAGTAATCACCCATAATTTCCTCTGAACGTTTCGAAAAAGAAAATACCAGGTAAAGGCAGAGCATGTCAGTCAGAATCGTAGCACATCGCCCTG